GGGCCAACAGGGCCCAGGGTGAGGCCCAGAAGGTGCCGACCCAGGATCCTCCCCTTGCTGCCAGCCCCACTGGAGCCCAAAGGCAGGGTGTGCACCATGTTCTCGCCTGCAGTGCGTCTTGTACCCGCGGCGGTGAGCGCCTGTTCCACGGCAGAGGTCCTCCGAGTGGGGTCCCCAGCCGGCAGCATCAGCATATGCCCTGGGGGCTTCTCAGAGGTGCCAGTTCTCCGTCCGGCCCACCCCGGACCTGCGGAGTCAGATGCTCCGGGTGGGCCCCTGCAGTCTCCGTCCTCCAGGGGTCGCTGCCCACGTTTGAGAACAGCCATCTAAGGGCAGCTGTTCCTCCGCGAAGCCCCCGCCTCCACGGCCCAGCAGGAGAGTGTCTCAGGGGTACAGCCCCTTGGGGTTGGCGTGCTGGCTCCCTGCCCACCCTCTCTGTCCATCGGGCCCAGTCATTCATTCTCCATCCACTCTCCCAGCTCACGTCCCTCCGGGCTCTGTGGCTGCTGAGAGATCAGCAATGAAGAGCACGGATAAGGCTCCCGGGGCTTTGGTTCCAACGATGGCCAGTGTCCAGCCTGGTCCCACCAGCACGTCCGCAGCGGTGCTTTTGTGGTCATTTGTGGACGTGGGCAAATGGCTGATTCAAGGAGCAAAGTCGTGGAGGACTTTGAGAGACGGGGACCCTGAAGGTGGGCGTCTCCTTGAATCTTGCACCCCAAGCACCTCACTCTAGTCCCAGTTATGCCATGAGGAGTGTCTGCGAGAGGAAACTGGACCCTGTCTCACGAGGCAGGTGATTTGGAAGCTCCTGGGAGAGTCAGCAGCACACAACAGTGAAGCGCCTTCCCTTGGTGCCACATCGCCTGCGTACAGATGCAGTTTCTGGTGCTTGCAAACTATGTGACCTTGAGCAGGTCACTGGACCTCTCTGTGCCTCAGTTAACTCATCTGCAGAATGGGGTGAATTATAGCACTACCTCACAGGGGTGTTGTGGGGAATGAATGTGCTGGTATCTAAAGGACACATGCTAGCTGAATGTTAACTGTTACCATTCTTACACGTTCATCTTAAAAAGCTGTACAGAAAGTCAAGATGCAAACCTAAAGCAAACCAAAATATGCATAATTTGGGGAAATTAACAGAGTATCACAAAAGCAATCAATACTGCCTTGACATTTGGAAATTCTTCACTAAGTGCACGGGTTCAGTTAGTGATAGAATTCCACTTCAGTCCTCATGGACCCTCATTGCTTGTCTCCACAGTGAATAATATTTACATAATCACAGTGTGGCAAATGTGGACTCCTCTCTCGTTTTGGAATCAACCCATGGACAAATCTGTGGAAAGCCCAATCGCAGTTACAGAGCAAAATGTAGATGTTACAAATGATCTTTGACACCATAAAAGGGATGGCACAGCTAAGCGGGAGACGCAAAGGAAGTATGTTTATGTCTTTTCTTTTTCTTCTGAGATTCAACATTTTATTTATTTATAATGTGGTAAGAACACTGAACATGAGATCTGCCCTCTTAACACATTTTTAAGTGCACAATACAGTATTGTTAACTAGGCACAGTGTTGTACAGCAGACCTCTAAGTTTATTCAGAGATTGTGTGTGTGTGTGTGTGTGTGTGTGTGTGTGTGTGTGTGTGTATCCCTGAAACAAATATATATAACTGAAACTTTATACCCATTGAACAGCAACCCCAGGAGTATGTTAATTTCTGCTGTACCCTGGTAAGGAGTCCATAGACAGCAGCTAAAGTTGATGCTTCCAGAAATAGAGCCTTAAGTGTTCCTTTTAAGGTCACAAAAGTAACCACCAGAACAACTAAAAATAATAACATAGCTAAGAAAAATCAAGGGAGGCAGGAGCGGGATGTAGGCGGTAGGGGAAATGGACTAAATCCTCATCTTTCATGCCAGGAAGTCAAGGGAAATAGTCTCTGGCTGACAAAAAACTAGACCCATAAAATTACTATGCGTGTCCACAGTGGACAAAATGAGAAGGCCTCAAACCAGAAAAAATCATTTCCTTTGGAGAGAGGGAGAGAGCACAGGAAACGTTAGCTCTTCATTTTATAGCTTTCTGGATGGTTTGAATTTTTCAACATGTGCATACTTTACTTTTGTAAGCGGAAACTGGTGTGATGGCCTCAGCCACACTGCCAGGGCCTGGCTGCAGCAGGCGGTCCCACCCTGGGCAACCCCTGCCCTCTGGCCACCTGAACTCACTCTGAGGCTGGGCTGCCATGAGCAGTGAGACTCTCTCTTCAGGTTTGGAAGCACATTTGCCTGTGGGAGACGTCTATTTACAAACCTTTCAAAGAAACTGCAAGTACAGTATAGACGTTTAAAAACAGCATGATTTTATATATATATATATATATATATATATATATATTTTTTTTTTGCAGTATTAAGATAAGTGATTTGTGTCATGTGATTTTTCAATTTTACTTCCAGTGAGTATCCTTCAGTCCTACATAGATACCAACGCTACATTTGTCATTTACAATGGAGTATTCCCAGGACTTCATATATATATATTTTTTTTTTTTGCAGTATTAAGATAAGTGATTTGTGTCATGTGATTTTTCAATTTTACTTCCAGTGAGTATCCTTCAGTCCTACATAGATACCAACGCTACATTTGTCATTTACAATGGAGTATTCCCAGGACTTCCCTGGGGGTCCAGTGGTTAAGACTCTGCGCTCCCAATGTGGGTTTGATCCCTGGTCTGGGAACTGTGGGAGGGGGGTCCCTGGAGCCTGCGGCCTTGGCTCTGGTGATCAGAGGAGCCCCTGGCTGTGTGGAGGATGGAGGTCAGCTCCCCACCCCTGCCCTCGCTGGGAACCGCTAAAAGACAAACTGAGGCATATTGCAAATCTTAAGATTATATTGGACATGGGAACTCCCTGGTGGTCCAGAGGTTAGGGCTCCGGGCTTCCACTGCAGGCCGGCGTGGGTTTGGTCCCTGATTGGGATCCCGCATGCGCACTGCCAGCCAAAGAACAAACAAAAAGGATTATATTTGGACAAAAATTGATTGGAATGGGGCAACCTAGAACTGGAAGTGGTTAGGAGCGCCCCACCCATAGCAGCTGGAGAAAGTACAGATTAAGCGCTGAAGCAAAGCAAAAGTGATCGTTAACTGGTATGGCTTAAAGCCCAGCTGTGAGTGGTTGGCTGTGATTGGCTATGTGTGATTGGCTGTGTGTGATTGGCTGAGAGTGGCTGTGTGTGGTTGTCTGTGATTGGCTGAGATTGGCCGTGTGTGGTTAGCTCTGTGTGATTGGCTGTGTGTGGGTGTCTGTGATTGGCTGTGTGTGATTGGCTGTGATTCTCTGTGTGTGATTGGCTGTGTGTGGTTGGGTTTCCATTTCGTAACCTTGAGGCATTCACAGGCTTAGGTTCTGGTTTGTTTGCCTACAGGCCATGTATTAGACCCCCCAGCCAAGTGGCCTCCTTGTTTAACTAATTTAAAAACCTAAGGAGGGAGTGGGTGTCACAAAAGAAGATCCTGGTACCCCGTGTGGGGCAGCGTGTGACATCAATGTTAGATATTTCCCTGAGTTTATACTTCTGGTGGCCTGAGCTAGGACCAGAGACTTCTCTGTGGAAGCTAATAAGTGCATCTCCGGGATGGGAATTCATCCCAACTCTTTCTGGCTTAAACTTCTGCTCCCTGGACCTCACTCCCCAAACCAAGACGCCCCAGAATCATCCAACCCAGAGAGAGCAAGGGGTGTTGTCCTTGCTTGATTGGCACTGCTCTGGTCCCTGGCATCAGGGGGATGATGTCTCCTCTCCTGGCACAAGTGACCAAATAGAACATTCCAGAAAACACTCCCTTGGCCTGGCCTGGCCTTCTCAGGCACCCACACATGCACACACACCCTGGTCATCCCGGAAGGGCTCCTTTTCAGCCAATGCCACCTTCCACCCTGGTGGTCCCTGCTCTCGCTGCTGTCACCATAGAGTAGCTTCCTCCGTTCTTCCAGTTTTGTAAATAGAGTTGTACATATGTTTTCCTCTGTGTCTTTGGAGGCTTCTCGCTCAACATAATGCTTTTGAGACTCATCCAGATTGTTGCATATTTGGTAGTTCCTTTGTTTTTATCCCAAAGTAGCATTCCATTGTGTGGATGTACAATTAGTTTAAAATATAAAGACCAACAATATCAAGGATTGGTGAGCAAGTGGGGCAGCTGCTTTGCATTTTTTAAGTTAATTTATTTTTATTTTATATTAAAAAAAAAAACATGGGAGTTCTCTGGTGGTCCAGTGGCTAAGACTCCTTGCTCCCAATGCAGGGGGCCCGGGTTCAATCCCTGGTCAGGGAACTAGATCCCTCATGCATGCCGCAACTAAGAGTTTGCATGCCACAGCTAAAGACCCCGTGGCAATGAAGACCCAGGGCAGCCAAAATAAATAAGTAAATATTTTTTAAAAATAGCTTTTGCTTCTTAGAACAGTTTTGGGTTTATAGAAACATTGAGTGGCGGGTACAGAGAGTTCCCACGTAGCCTCGCCCCCCTCCCAGTTTCTCCTGTTATTAACACCTTTCATTAATGTGGTACATTTGTTACAATTAATGAACCTGCACTGATGCATCATCATCACTGAAAGTCCGCAATTTACATGAGGGTTCACTCTCCGTACCATACTTGCTCTGGGTTCAGACAAATGTATATGGACATGTACCCACCATTACAGAATGATACAGAGTAGTTTCACTGCCCTAAAAATCCTCTGTGCTCTGCCTATTCATCCCTCCCCACAAACCCAGGCAACCACTGATCTTTTTACTGTCTCCATAGCTTTGCCTTTCCTGCAATGTCCTAGAGCTGGAATCCTGCAGTATGTAAGGAATTTGCTGAGTCTGCACCTGTAAGAAAGGGCCTTTTAGGGTGAGGCTGGGAGAAGTGCGGGGGAAGGACACGGGTAGGTCCTGGGACGTGCCTGACCCCCTCTTTTCTCCTTTCCTCCAGGGCTCGCCAAGCCCATTGGTCTGGTGGAGGGGCCGGGCGGCCTGGGCCAGGGTGGCATGGCGGCCACACTGCGTGACGACAGCCAGGAGACAGAGGGCAAGTTCGAGGAATACGGGTACAACGCACAGCTCAGCGACCGCATCTCCCTGGACAGGACCATCCCTGACTACAGGCCCAAAAAGTGAGTACGCTGCCCCTCCCACAGACACCTCCAGGCAGCGCCCCGCAGGCCTGGGCTCCTGGCACCCAGATGTTCACAGTACCTGCTGGACAGGCAGAGCGGAGGGAGGGGGGGCCCTGGCAGGTGGGGCCCCCCCATCCGTCTTCTCTTCTCCGGTTTCTCTGCTCTCGGCCATGGGCATCCCTCTGCAGGTGCCCAGTACAGGACTGAGGCTGCTCAGGGATGGCACTGCCCGGGAAGCTGGGCAGCGCCATCGCCGATGCTCCAGGTGCCGCCACTTATACAAATGACACAAGTGACAAGTGACACAGCTTGAAGCATAGTCTCTGCCAAATGCGTTTGTCCTCCCGCTTTTGGTGCAGGAGCCGCGATGATGGGTGGAGGTTCTGCTTGAAATGAGCATCGCCCGTGTCTAAAAGGCATATTCCATTTCTGTCACTTGCCTGTAAACCCCTGTCCCCACCACTCCCAAAGCCACAGCAGTTGATTAGTCAGAAAAGTCAGAGACCCCTCGATGGCTGTGCCTTTCCTTCTGGTCACTCAGGACTCCTGGTCTCAGATCATTGCATCCTGTAGTAAAGCAGAGGCGAGACTGGAACAGAACTCCGTGTTGAGTGGACCTCATTGCTTTAATAACTTCAGCCAAGCAGGGCGCCTGCACCCTGGACACGAAGCCAGGCTCCTTCCTGTGGCCCTGTGGCCACAGGAGCCCCGCTGGCAACGTTGACAGGGAAGCACTTTCAGCAGCACTTTCTTCCTGCAGGGGCTGCAGTTCAGGGCCGGGCCGGGCAGCCGTGTGGTCAGAGCTGCCACTCTGAGTCCTGAGTCCACGGAGCAGCCTTCAAGGAAAGGTGGATGGGGGTGCGGGGGAGTGTCGCCATTTAGCGCCTGTCTTGGTTTGCCCCTCTTCCAGTTGTGGCTTCTGAGATAGGACTCTGGTTTGGGAAGTGGTCCCAGAAGCCCTGGGAGGGGGTGGGAAGGCTGACCCGGAAGGGCCCAGAGCATGAGAAGGTGCATTATCGTTGAGGGTACAGGTGGTCGGCAGAGGATCCGCTCCACTGGGGACACAGGGCCTTGGGGCTACCCCAGCCCAGGGAGGACCAGGGAGGGGTTCTCACAGACTCCCTGTTCCTCCAAGCTTGAGGGCTTGCTGTGCGAGGAGTGAGGTGAGATGCCCAGAAACGAGTTTCTAGGGCGCTGGGGCAGGGCTGGCAGTGAGCGTGTGGCCGCACCAGGGAGTTCTGGGGCCTGGGGCGCAGGGACCAGCGCGTCTGCCCAGGTTCCGTGCTCTAGCCACAGCCGGGTTGCGTGGTGGGAACTGGCTGACCTGAGCTGCAGAGTGGGAGGTTAGGCCGTCTTGTGACTGCATTCCTGAGAAACCCCCTCTGTCACGTTATACCCAGAGAGCCTGGAGCAGGCAGCTCCCACCGCCTTGACCATCCACAGCTCGTGATGGTGCTATTTTATTTTCATCGCATTTATTTTCATGGTTACCATTGATTTAGCATAAGTAGTTCTGCTTTCCATTTGCAGCGATGAAATAAAGGTGCCGTTTTGAATTTAAAAAATGCATTTAGGTGTAAAACAGGCCAAGTTGGAGAAACATACAAAGTAAATAATAACGCAGGTGGTGCCGAGATGTGACAGCAGTCACGGACACGGACCTGAATGAGTCAGGTGCTCTGAGGGTGTGTGTGAGTGTGTGTGCACGTGTGTGCGTGTGCATGTGTTTGAGTGTGAGTCGATTTCTGAAAGCCCCCGTTGTGTCCTGACTTTTGGAGGATGAACTAAGTTGCCCTCCAGCAGGGTCAGCACAGCTGCTGGCGTTTAGCTCTGAGCGCCTGGGCAGCCCTGGTGCGGTTCGGAGGACCCCCAAGGCCAAACTCAAGTTCAATAACTCACTCAAAGGACTCATAAGGCTCAGCAAAGCTGTTACACACATGGTGCAGTTTGTTATCGCTAAAGGACACCAGGCAGGAGTTTCCAGCTGGCCCCCATGGTGGGGCTCACAGGGACGGTGCCCGATCACCCCAGCAGTGAGGTGTGAGCACGCTATGACATATTTTGCCAGCCGCGGGGCTCCCTCGAGCCTTTTTTTTTTTCTTCCCTTGAGCCTTGGTGTCTGGGTTTTTACTGGCTGACCTCAGTCTCCAGCCCCTGCAGAGGTCAAGCCGAGACCCCACATGAATCCCACTGTAGCGAAGACTACCTGGCAAGGCCCCAGGCCT